TTTCTTTCTTATCAGCTGCACCTATCCTGTTTCATCCTTCCAATGATTCAGGTGATTGTTTAATTTCAGGTTGAGCTGTCTATGTATGTATTATAATAGAAACATATTTTGCGTTCAAAACTCATACAAGCATTTGAACTAGTAAAGCTACTGATACATGTAACTCTTGATCATCTCAATACTTCTTATTAGATATTGATAAGAATGGGTTAAGAAATACAAAGCCTCAATATGTTGAAAGGTAAGAAGTGCTTACCTCTTGATTGAGCTTTCTCCAATGCCTTGCCATATCTACCACGGACTTGGAGCACATTGGACATGTGTATGAGTGTATCTATTGCAAAAGAAAGAAAAACAAAAAGAACATTAATAACATATACAATTTCCCTTCTTAAACACCAAAATCAAATTGGATTGGGGGTCAAATTAGTAGGAACTACAGTTTAGTGGGGGGATGAGGCTTACTGATGATGATTCAACATTTGCGCCATACATTCAGAGTGCATTGTGTGTCCACATTTCAAAACACTTATCACTTTTAACGAGTCAAAAAGATACTGCAACATAGAATCTAACATGATGATGTTTCAAATTTCAAATGTAGAATGCGAAAGAATATCACGAAAATGTACCTCAACACATATGGGGCAATTCTGTTTCATTGAGTTCTCCACACATGTGTGCTTACCGCGTAGAGAATTTGAGTAGCAGGAACCTATAGATAATTTCGAATGGACAAAGATATGTAGATTAACAGAAAATTTCAACTAAAGAAGATGTATCCATAAAATGTAGATAACAAAGTGCCATGAATTTCATCTATTCCATCCTACATGCTTGAGTACAATCAGATAGAACAATGAGCTCAACAAAAAGACAAAAAAAAGCATGTATATACAACATCAACAAAAAGGAAAACAAGATGTCAGCACTAAATGTAGATAACTATTGATTGTTCTAATAGAAGTCTGGTTCGTCATTAATAGAAAACAATTATCAAGAAAAGCAAACAAATTCAAACATTTATCAAGAAAAGCAAACAAATCCAAATATTTATCAAGAGAGAGGCACATACCACATGTTTCACAATTGAAGAAATTATCCTGCCCTCCAACTCGACAAATACCGCAATCATCACAGTGAAACTGCCCTTTCTCAGTGTCGTCGTAAATTTGCAGATTTCACAGAACCACTCCCCCATTTTTACACCACACTTTGTACAAACTTCGGTAACCTAAAATCACCCCAACTCTTGCAATAATTCCCAGAAGGAAAAAGAATTTCAAATAAACAAAGATAATTCAGAAATTTTACCCGCTGTTCAGTATCGCAGACCAAACAAATCACCTAATAAATCACAAAAAATTAAAAACTTGAGAAGAAATAATAACACATCAAATCCAAATAAAAAAAAAGATACATATATACCTTCCAAATCAATTATATTTGTAATCTTGCCGCTGGCGGTTGAAGATCGTAGCACATTTGGTTTAATCTATCTTCCAAATTAATTATATTTGAGAATCAATTATATTTGAAATCTTACCGCTGGCGGTTGAAATCTTGCCTCAGATCGTGCCGCTAGCGGTTGAAGACGTAGCCGTAGACAAAGGAGGAGCTCGCCGGGAACCTGAAGGTGAAGATGGAGTCGAGGATCGAGGATCGGTAGCGGGCCTGGTGCATTGAATCGAGGAACGAGGAAAAGGCGATGAGGAGCTGCTGGTCGGCGATGAAGGAGTTCGCCGGGAAGAAGACCTCGACGGTCTGGCCTTGCTCGAGATAAAAGTGGATGATGTAGAACCCTAGGACCCAGCGGCGGAGCCCGACGAGATCGAAGCGGATGAAGACGACGTGGAGGCGGCGGCAGGAGCGGAGGAGGAGGAAGAAGATGGCCGATGGATTTGAGAGATTAGGGTTTGAGAAGAGGGATTTCAGATGAGGGATTTGAGGGGATGGGGATAAGGGGCGCGGGGATTTTAGATTTTGGGGTAAGTTTTAGGGGGGAAGCAGAGAACGGATTTTAGATTTTGGGGGAAATTTTGGGGTGAAGCGGAAGAGCACAGAAGAAGAGAAATGTTTTATTTAAAAAAGAAAAATAATTAAACACCTAAACGAGTTAAACCATTTGGGCTAAACATCTCATACGGTTAAACCTGTTTGGAGGTTGCGTTTGGGATCTCCTAACAGCCCAAACGGTTTCAACCGTTTGGGTTTTGTTATCCCAAACGGGTTTAACCATTTGGGTTGTTTTTACTTGTCCAAATGGTTCTAATAACTGTTTGGACTGTCCTATTTTATACTAGTGCTACGCCAAATAGGAATAAGTGATTTTATTGCACGTTTGGTTTAATCTATTTTCAGAAGTCAATATTATATATTAACATAATCTAATTTCAGAAGTCTGAAATAAATGTATATACAAAACTCGCAAATTGTTTAAATATTATCAGATTTGTGAGCAATCCTTTATCATTGGGATCCCTTTGAACCTGAATAAATATTAATTGGTTGTTAATCTTCATGTGAATTGTGCAAAAAACTACAAAAAGGAACCATCAACCAGACAAACCAAATCCTTATTTCTATCCATACTAGAGCTTTACCTCGTGCTGGACATTTATTGATTCTTTTAACGAGGAAAAGGTTCCATGTAAAAGAAAAAAAAATTAGTGAGGAAACCTTCAATTTGTCGTCAATGAATTTGGCGGGTGTTGCATATTTTTCCGCCAAATTAATTAAGGAAACTATAATTTCCTCACTAATAGGTTTTTTTTACGACAAAACGGTTCCTCGTAAAACAAAAACTTTTAGCGAGGAAGCCTTAAATTTGTTGCTATTGAAATTGGTGGGTTTTACACATTTTTCCGCCAAACTAATAATGAGGAAACTATTATTTCCTCGCTAATTGGTTTTTTTAACGAGGAAATAGTTCCTCGTAAAACAAAAATTTTAGCGAGTAAACCTTTAATTTGTCGTTAATGAATTTGGCGGGTGTTGCAAATTTTCTGCCAAATTAATAGTGAGGAAACTATAATTTCCTCGCTAATAGGTTCGTTTTAACGAGGAAACGGTTCCTTATAAGAACAAAAACTTTTAGCGAAGAAGCCTTAAATTTGTCACCAT